CTACCAAGTGAGTTCCAGGAAAGGCACAAAGCTACATAGAGAAACCCTGTCTCGAAAAACCAAAAAAAAAAAAAGAAAGAAAGAAAAAAAGAAAAGAATGTGACCCTTAGGAACCAGAGTTGATGCCTAAGAGGCCAGGTGAGTTTAATGTGAACTTTTTATATTGCTGGCCACTGCAGGGAGCATGTGGTGTCCTTTAGATTGTTACATGTCAAATGTCAGATTATGATGAGGATCACACATTCAACACACTCTTTCCACTGCCTACATCTTGGAGGCAGCAGTAACAGGTGCAGACAATACATGCTTTTTGTACCAAGATCTTTTCACACACTACCCCAAAGTTGCTCAGTAATACTCACTTCCCAGTGGAATAAAGTGAGTCCACATGATGCTGGGTAGCTTGCTTTTGGACAAAGGCTGACTGGTTGGGACTGTTTAAATTCCTCCAAGGTCATTGACACAGATAGGATGACTAGTGTGGTAACAGCCTGGGTCTCTTTTAGTCTCAGAGGCCAACTCCAGAACTCTCATTGACATCCTTTCTTTCCTCAGATATGCAGGTTCTGCTGGATATGTTCAGACAAACCTCATCTTCACCATATGTGCATCCTGTCTCATCTAGGCAAGTGTTCAGTGAGCTGGGTGCAGGAAGCACAGCGTCTAGACACAGACATGTTGGTGAAACTGCGTTTCCTTCTTGATCCTAGAGCCCGTTTATGGGACAGTAGCAGAGCAGCTAGGACAAACCAATCCCTGCAATCAGGGCTTCTCAAGGAGACCCCACTGAGTTCTCCCACAGGAAGTCACATGGGAAGAAAAGGGTCATTATTCCTGCCTCGTTAGGTCCTGAATTCCACCAGAAATAAACCAGCTATTATCTGAAAGGCCACAGGTCTAGGGTGGTGAATGAATCTTTCTGCCGGCCTCACCAGTTGTCTAACACAAGCTTTTTCTTTTAGGTGCCTGGCCATATCCTGAATCCTGGACCCTGAGAATTCCTGACTTGCATGTGTGCACACTGAGCATTGGTGACATGGAGGAAAAAGAGCACCTCTCCCCTCCCCTTCATGGCAGACTATCATGCCATTGTCTGAGCTCCAGAGGAACTCAGAGGCTCCACACAGCAACAGGAGGACATGCTGTGGAGGACTACAACATGGTTTCTGTTCCACTACCCAACTACAGACAACCACCCCAAATTACCAACAAGATCTGGATAATCTACAGGAACGTCCCCTTGTGGAAGCCTCCCAGTGGTTACTTACTTTTGAACCCTATCCAACTTAGACCCCATGGCATTTTGACAGTTCAGAAAGTCACCTATGCCTCTCTGTCTTCACAGATAACAAGGAAAACCTGCCTGAGCAGGTAAGAAATATCTCAGAAGAGCCTTGGGAATTACATGTGCTTCTCTTTCTGAATTCAAAAGTGGATCTCCAGAGAAGGGCAGTACCCATGGACAACCTGTTCCAGGCCTCCACTAACATGAAGAGGCACAGCTTGAGGTCATACATTTGGCCTATTTCTCACTGGTTTAGACAAAAACAATTTACAAAGAAATACTGAAGTATTTCATTGGAATTCCAACATAAATTCTATAAATTGGCATTCAGAATGCTTTGACCCCTGGAGGACAGAAATCCAAACAATATGAGCTCTCAGCTTCTACCAGTAGTTATTTTAAAGGTAGTAGATATTGGTATTTCATCTATATTTGGTATTTCATCATTCCAGTCAGATGATCAAACACAAGATGTAACAACCAACAGGTCCTAAACCTTGAAGAATGGCAGAGGAGGAGAGATCCCTCCAGACCCAGATCTTCTTCTTCCAGGACATCCCACAAAGCCTCAGAGATCCATAAAGTCCTACATGGAAGTAATGGAGACTGGATATGTGGAACAGAATAGAAAGCTCAGAAACAGACCCATCGAAATCCTGCCAGCTGATTTTTTCATAGTCAGCCATGGGAATCAATGCAGAGAGAATGGCTTGTTCACAAAAGACTGCAGAAGAAGATTTAAAAACAAGCAATAAGGAACTAATTGAAAACCTGAACACAGTCACCATTTCAATTGACCTCAAATACAAACACTATAATGCTCACATAAAGATATAGAAGAGGACTACATGATTTCCTGCCTTATAAAAAGGAAGATCAGAAATAACACAGAGTAGATGAACTGTGGACTTGGGAGCTCTGATGCCACCAGCCATGAAAATACAGAAGCTGGAGCATGGCTGGAGCAGGACACTCCCGTGAGGACATCTCGAGAGAGAGCCTGGCCCCTGACACACCCAGGCAGACAACAAATCCCTGACAGTGAACGTTGTGTGGCTATGAGGAGGTGGAGGTGTAGTGTGTGCTGTGTGGTGTGAGGATGGCTGAAACCTATCACATCATGTGGGATGGAGATGAGCTGTCCAGCTGATCTGATAACAGCACTGTATTGATGGTCCAGTCAGCTGGGGAAAGCATCAGGGCTGACACCTAGATACTCACATGTGCTACCCATGCCCCTCCCCTTGTTAACAACATACATACAGTGTCAGTGTAAGGACATGAAGGACTCCTCTCATCCACACTCACCACTTAGGTCTCTAGGTTTTAGGACTAGATAGTCAACTCCCTTCTGCTGTCCCCCCCAAAATGCTAGATTCTAGACCAGGCTAGACATGCCTCCAACCACAATGTACTAAGACATGGGGAAAGGTATCAGGCCCTGTTGCACACTTTATCTTCTGACAAGGACACACATTTACTGCTTGGTTCAAACACTCCTGGAATCTTCCTGCACTGACATACAACACTAGGTATAATGCAACGTGGGACACTACAGCCATGCCACCTCACTTGTATTACCAGCTGTCAGACCATGATAAACAACCTCTACAACA